AATAAAAATATTTATCTCAGAAAAATAAAAGTTAAATAAGAAAATAAAAATTAAACTAACACACCCTTCAATCCAGTGTCGTTATAAAATATAAATGTAATGAATTTTCATTCGGCTAAATTATAGAAATACAAAAAATAGAAGTAAATAAGTAAAATGAAAGGAAAATGTATATATACTAGTAACTAAATATCACTGTAAATAAAGTCATTTTTATGTCTTGAGTATCAACAAAACAACTCGAACTCGTGACAATTCTCTAACTCATGAGAAGTTCAATAATTTTAAAAAAAAAAAGATATTCAGAGCACATATCTGCATCACATGAGAAATTGTAAACAAAACAAATGAATTTAGATTATTCCACGTTAGCTTCATATAGTGGAACATTACATACTACTGTATATATGAAGCAAAAAAAAAGAAAAACAATTATTATATCACTAAAAATTATTTTTCTCAAGTATTCGAGGTTCTGGAATATATCCACTTAAGATAAAATGATTTACTTCATCAAAATAGTGGTACCTCAAATTCCACTGATCATCAAACTCACTCAACGACAATAAATCACATGAAATTTTTTTTAAGTGTAAGAAGAAGAAGAGTAAAAGATTAAAAATGAGAGAAAATTCTTCTATTTGTAGTCAATAAAAGGTAGTATGAACATGTGGTTATTGTGCCTTATCTGAAAATTCTGACCCTTCGAAACAGTGACAATTCTTTGGAAAAGTCACAATCCTTTGTAAAAGTCACAACTTATCGGAAAAGTCACAACCTTTTAAAAAAGTCACAACTCATCGAAAAAGTCAAAACTTATCAGCAAAGTCACAACTTTTCAATAGAATATATGCTACTCAAATAGATATACATAGGTGTTTTAAATAGGGTATTATAGTAATTTAAGATAATTTTGTTAAAACATATTTAACTTTTAAGAATAAGAAAATGTATATGTGGTAAGTACAAGCGGAAAACGTCGTATAATATGAATAGGAAGAAGTAGAAGATATCTATGATGCTTCAATTAAAACCTTATGTTTTATTATTCAAAATTCTATCTTATTATGTACTCCCTTTGTTCCTACTTACTTATCCACTTTTGAATTTACACACATATTAAGAAAACAATAATTGACATAATGAGTTTACCATTTTACCCTTATTAATTATGAAGTGGGTGAATTAAAAACTTAAGATATTCAAGAAGTTCTACATTTTTCAAAGTAATTCATTGAGCGTATAATAGGTAAAATAAATAAATTATCATTTCTTTATTTGTCAAAATGGACAATTAATTAGGGACAACTAAAAAAGGAAATGTGGACAAGTAACTAAGGATAAGGGAGTAGTTATTAACTAAGTACTAATTCATTTTTTATTATATTTTTTCTTGAGAAAATGGCCAAATCCCTCCTCATTCTATTACCTCATTCTCAACTACACACCAATACTTTAGGGGAGTCCTATTACCCCCCTGAAATATTTTAAACTAAGATATTAACACCCTTAAAACGTCACCCCCAAATATGTGTTGCCTAGTGTAATACACGCGCCTATTTTTTCAAAATAATAAAAAAATAATCATTCCAATTTTTCTCCACCATTCTTTCCTTAATAACCATTACCAAATCTCATCTTCATTCTCCTTCTTCCTAAATCTTCTTTCTTCTTTTTTCTTCACTATTCCCAGAAAATGTTCCTAGATGGCTCATTTTCTTCAGTCCACCTTCATCTCTACCACACCACACCACACCATATACACCAACCTTTGCCCTTTTTTTTTAATGTCTTTCCGATCATCTATTTGCACAAAATTGATTGTTATTGAATTTGATAAGTTAGCTATTATCGTTATCTCTGAAGATAGTTATTTTTTCGTCGGTTCTCAATTGCATTTGTTGATGAATTTGAAAATGAATTTTTTCTTGAAAAATCTCAAATTCTAATACCCACTTTCAATTGCAATCAAGAAACTTCGATTTCTACTGTAAACGAAAAGATGTCTCCGATGAAAGCTGAAATTTTATCTTTCGAAGTCGAACTAAAAATATTTTCCGCCGAGGTGAAGAAACTGAAGTTGTTCTTTTTTCTTTCTTTTATTGTTCTGTCTAAAATTAGGGGAAGATTTTTAATGGTGTTGCTACTGAAAAGTATTTTGTGAATTAAAAATGAAAATATGAAAAGATAAAATTCTTTCTTGTATTGATAGCCAAGGCAACCGACTGATTTGAAGAAGGGTTAGAGATGAGAGAGAGTGTTTGTATTTGTGTGTGTGATTTTAGTTGATTAATTTTATTAATTATTATATTATCTAATTAAGAATTGACAGTTGTTAAATTAATTAATTTTGACTTCCTTTTTTTCCTCACACTTGCTAATAGGAAAGTGAATACACTTACTGCATCATGCTACAAATTACAACCATGGGAAATATTGTCCCTTTCAAGTCCAAATGGAGATGGTTAGTCTAATGAAAAAAGTAAAAAGTCTTCAGTTTCACCAAGTCTGATGCCCATTTTAGCCAATCAGTTTTCCTCCCTAGTTAAGGAACAAATGAGGAATCTGCAATAATATAAATAAGTGAATATTTAACATTTTCAGAATTACACATTACTTACAACCCTCTTTTGAATCTACATTGATCTCCAAAACCAGCTTCAATTCTGTATCAACTCACTTTTCACATGGCTTCATTTTACGGCTTTTAAGTTTAATAAAAGAAGAGGCCTTGTACCTAAAACTCAAACCTCAAAAGTTAAATTCATGAGGCAAGAATTATCTAAGACCATATTTGGAGAGAACATAATATTTCCTTGACAGGCCCAAAATTATCTGTATCACAGCAAAATAATTGGTTCTAATAGCTTAACATCAGCAGTCATGCTTTGCGTCGGAAGGGAGGGGGGGTTCTTATCTACTTGACATATTATATCAGCAAAAGTTAGATTTATTGAACATCAGATTCATGACCTACATTTCTAAAGATGGGGCATTAGTAGTCTGATCTTCACAAAGACCAAAATTGTCGTGAAATTAAACTCACCAGTCTCTACCACATGCCTTCGCTATAATACAAACAAATTTTATTTTCTCCCACATAATACCACAATTCATGCAGTACAATAATACAGTAACAGTAATCAGAGCCAATCATAACACAGCTTTTTAGCAGGACAGGAAAAGGACAGGAAAACAACTGATACAATAAGTGGTGAATTCCAACTTAATTATGCTTCAGTTGTGTAAAACTAAATGGATGACTAAAAACATGAATAAAACTGAAAATACTCATATTTATGTAGGAGTTCATTGGATGACCTAGAAGCACTGCCAATGAAAATAGATTTTAGTCCATTTTGCTGGGCACAATCAACGATCCTTAAAGCCAATCAATCCCTGCAACTGGATCCATGGTAAAATAAGTTCTTTCTATCATACCTTTTATCCACGAACAGAATTGAGATGGTTTTTGTGGTTCACCATAATACAGTCATTGGCTCATATTGGCAAAATCACGAGGAACATTAATAAGAATGTCCTCTCATGTGATGATGTTGCCTACAACTTCCATCTTACTCTAAGATATTGTGCACTACCTAGGAAAACTATAAGAGAGCATGCAATTCAGCTGTGCCTATATAAGAAAATCGTAACATTCTACTATTGGTATTAAATCAGCACTACTTCAAATACCAGTAAGGGTTGGGTGATCCAGACAAAGGTGATGAAATTAGTTATCAACTCTTGCAAAGGCTTAATGATCACCCACCCATTGTCTGAAAGGTTCGGCACAACAAGGTGAGAGCAAAAGTATGCTAAGGTCTAAAAATGGCCAAAATAATGAGAAAGGGGCAACGTTTCAAATGTCAAACAATTCTATGAAGTGAAGCTTCCCATTAAAATTGCTAAAACTGCAGCTTTCATTTACCCTTTATAGCGGCGGTTCTTTGGGAACAACCTTTTACATAAATTTATTGACAGGCAGAAATAAATCACGACTGTTATAAGGAACCAACAAAAAATAAGTACCAAGATATGAGCTTAAGATTAATCTTTCTTGAGCATATTCCAGGTCAACCTCTTTGAAATCCTCTGTATCATCTATATCATCTATGGGTATATCTTCACTGAGGTAATCGAAGGAACCTGAAAATGCATTAAAAGTAGGTAAAAGTCAACCAGTTATTTAGATAAACTATGCAGCTCTTCTAGAATATAAAATATACATCAAACAAAAAAATAAAAGAACGAAAAGTTATGACTTCACTATACAAGATATCTCTATACTAGAAACATGTCAACTATACTTAATCAAATTGCATAGCATACCCGTTTAAAGTATAATGACATTGCTGACAAAAGAAAATGTGAGTGAATGCATGGTAACATACATAATTTTCACAGCATTATATGTAATCGCAGGTCTCTGGCAGCCGCAGGTAATGCAATTTTAAACCAACAAAGGAAGTTTATGAAAGGTAATAAACTATGACTCACCTAAATTGTCGTAGAAGTTGTAAGAGGTAAAGGAACGCAGGGTAGAATCTATTACTCTTCAAATGGATTACGTATAGAAATTCTGGTTGTCATGTACATGGAATATTCCTAAACTAACCAAAGCTTAAGCTTTAGCATCAGTTCATTCTTGCACTAGCTATTTGAATCCTTTGCGACCGTCAAATATATTACCTACTAAATTGTATCTAAGGTGGCTCCATATTATATCAGAGACAAAAAATTCAGGAGAAGTGAAAATGTTCAATATTTTATGTCAGAGAATCATTTTTTCCAGAAGAAAAATGTAGACAATCAAATACTTCAAATGTTAGAACTTCTGGTTTTCTTCTCTCTATGTCATAATAAAAAAAAAACAGTACATAAAACTTCAACCAGTGTCAGTTGAATACAGATAGCGGATCATGAATCATAAGGCGAAATAATTTTACGAACACTAGAGGAAGAAAGTTTACATCCTGAAATTTATGGGGCTATACTTGCAGCAAACTTCCTTGATTCTGGCATTTTATTGAGAAGATACTCAAGTCCAGAAACTGTAGAAGAGCTTATGTCTGAGGGTTTTTATAGAAACCTGTGAAGGAAACTGAAAAGAGAAAGAATCAACATCCACACTGCTATAAAGTATCTTTCAATATACTACTAGATAAGAAAAATAACTAGTACTACACTGATTAGTATTCATAGACTTCAAAATGAAGATGACAGTGAGCTTCTACTGGACAAATTTTAATCTCACTTGTTGAGTAGTTCAGGACAAACTCAGTTTTTATTCTAGATGATTATAACAGACTCAATTGACTCCAGTGAGCAATTTATGACACAAAATAAAGTAAATGCATAGATAATGTCCTGGTGTACAGATCATCACCATGGAAGACACCGTCAGCTACAAATTGAGAAGGTTTGTAGCATGGTGCAGTCTGAACAAATTCAAACGGCTTGGATCCTCTTGTCTGCAGCTTATTTCTTACGAACTGGCGGCACTGTTCTATGCCGAGATGTACATTACTACAATCAAAATGGAAGGAGTTACTAGCTGAATTCCTTGAAACATGATAAAAAACAAAACTATGAAATGTACATACTTATAGTTCACATTCCTGATTGTCAAGGGCAAGACAACATTATACTTTCTTGTGATAGCCAACCATTCTTCATCAAGTTGAAGTTCATGTGGTCCTGGTTCGGACTCAATTTCAATAACCTATAAAACTCAGTGAGTCGCACACATTAATTTAGGCCGGATACATATGCGGCCCCTTAAAACTTTTCCAATTTTTTACATCTGAACACTTCACTAAGATTTGTACCAATTGAACACTAATTTTAAACTTGAAATGATCTACATTCCCTTTGAAGTGTTGTACTCGACCATGCCTTGGATGCATATTAGTTTATTGTCATTAGAATATAACTAAGATCAAATCTATAAGTTGAATTTTGTGTATTTACCTTGTTAAGTCCACTGCTAATAAGTGGTAATGCTATTATTTATGTTCTTTTTCTGCATGAAATTTGTCCGAGTTAAACGTGAACTCCATTCTCTCTTACATCTTCGAGATGAGCCATAAAGTCTCAATTTTACCACTTATCGAGTCAGCAAACCTTAAGAAATCGAAGAACAAGTCTTTGGAGTTGACGTACAACTTTCGAAAAACAGAAAAATGGGTTGTATACACTGATATACAAAAAGTGTATACAAAAATGGGTTTTGTTTTAAACGCCAAAAGTAGCAGCGAATTTGGCCCAAGAAAGGCCCAAATTCAATCTGTTCCTTACTCTTAAATTATTTAATTGTGATTATTTATTGTTTGTTGTTTTATTAACTCTAGCTTTAGAATTGTTAATTAACTTAATTGAATTCCCCAAAAGCTGAACTATTTCTTTGTGTTGTTTTTTTTATAACAAATTTCACTTTATTAACTTGCGTATCCTTTATTTACTTATTCAAATGGTTTTAGTCAAAACTTTCACTTAGCTTCAATTAGTTTAAAATGATTTCTTGATCTATCGATCAAATTGGTCTAAATTTTATTATTTTTTTAAAAAGAGATTCAAGTAAGATCTAATAAATCTAATTTTGTTGAAATTCTAGTCACATGGTTTTTAATTCAAATGTTTCATTTAAATCCCTTTTTTTGAAAAACAATAATAATTAAATTGTTCTTTATCTAACTATTGTTTCAAGTTAATATTGTAAATTATTTTTATTTAACTTTTTTCTAAAAAATAGTCAAAAAATACTTTTGTCAAGTCGTAGGATAACTGCGTGTTAGCGGGCGCTTCAAATGCCTTAAAACCCTTCTTGAAGCGTAAATAAGAACCTCATACCCATTTTCTCTAAATTTATAAAGATTTAATCTGTTAAAATCTTTTTTAAATTAAGTTTTCTTAATTTCTTTAAAAAAATTAAGGGGCGACTCTTTCTAAATATTTTTCTCAAATTGTTTTATACTTGGAGCATTTTAAAAAAGTGATTTTTCTAAAGATAGTAAAATTACGGCATAACAATTATTATTATTAATATTGTTATTAGTCACTCTAGATCCGACTAATATATACTACTTCGAATGTACTTGTGTTTGTGTACCTAGTCGTGGTCGATAATCTCCCAGATTATTAGCAACATCAACATGTCAAAGTGGCTGCAACGTGTAACCTCTCTTCATGACACGTTTCATTGCCTTTGCTTACACTTACTCTACATGCATTCTTTCTCATTCCAAAATTGACTCTTCAATCCCATCAAACATCTCCATCCTTATTATTGTTATTATTGTTATTAATGTTGTTGTTGTTGTTATTATTTTTATTATTATTATTATTATTGTTATTGTTATTATTATTACATTGTTATTATTGTTGTTGTTGTTTTTATTATTGTTGTTGTTGTTGTTATTATTATTATATTATTATTATTATTTTTGTTATTGTTATTGTTATTATTATTACATTGTTATTATTGTTGTTGTTGTTGTAGTAGTAGTAGTAGTAATTATTATTATAGTTGTTATTATTGTTGTTGTTGTTGTTATTATTGTTGTTGTTGTTATAATTATTGTTATTGTTGTTGTTGTTGTTGTTGTTGTTGTTGTTATTGTTATTATTATTATTATTATTATTATTATTATTATGAATTACTTGCTTCTCGACTTGGTTCAGAGATCGAGGTACAGTCAGATCTAGTACTACTCTTATTGGCTTTGTCTTAGTGATTCCGTCTGATGAGCCAAAGTTTTTAGCCCGAAAAAGAGTTTGATAAGTAGGGCGCTTCATACCCGGTTAGAACTATCAGACACATGGGCTCAATAATAGTATGTATTAGATCTCGACAGGCCCTTTGCTCGGGTAAAATGGAAGCACCATGTAGTCTGTAAAGCTATGTTAAAATTCCTATGTATTTCGATTCTTATGTAGTTGGACTACCTCTAAGGATATTGAATTGCTTGATCTATGACTGGGCGGACTACCGCCAAGTCAGTGATCCTGTAACTTTGGTATCAGAGCCAAGAAACTTTCATGGTAGATATGGAAAGGATGTGAAGTATTCTGGCATAGATATAATCTCTTAATCATGAATATATGAGATACTAGTACTAAAAGTACTCGATTAGAGGAGGTAGATATACCTCAAAACCTTAATTTGTTAAATAAGTGAACTATTCTAAAAGTTGATATCAAAACCATTTATGATTATGGTTGGTTTGATAAAATCTCAAATAAAAACTTATAAAAACTACTGAACAATCGCTGGCTTTAAATTCGTGAGAACAAACTATTCGCTTATTAAATAAATGCTACATTGATGTTTATAAAAATCAATACAAGTTTTTGCATATTGACATGGTACAGATTGCTTTTAAGCCTTTAACTCTTAAAGGGTTACCTGAGACTTTCTTAGCTGCTCTTCGCGATGCGAGGAATTTTAATTTTCGACAATCATTAATGGGTTTGATTGAATCTACTGTTGCCTATGGTCCAGTATATTTTAATACCCAACCTAATTTACAATTATCTTTAAGTGATGCTAATATCTTAGATGCTTTGACTCTGAATATAAAAACGCATGGTTATAATTATGCACCTGGTTCTAAGTTGATTTGTTTATCATATCGCATCTATTATAAATTACTTGCTACGTTAAATCCTAGATGTAAATTATATGATACAACATATCAAACTATTTTGGTAGAAACCAGTTTTGCTAGATCTAAGGTCACTACTAGAAAACCTATAAAATGGGAAGAAATTAATTTTCCTACAACTTGGACTTTAGAGTCGGTTATACCCTCTACACAGATGACCAATGCAGTCACTAATTCTGAATATTCTCATATCACTCAGAATTCCGATGGTAAGATCTGTATGCAATTCGATAGAAAAGAGTATTCCTTATAATAGACATTCATTTTCTAATAGAAGACTGGCTATTCAACATATATTGCCTATTGAACCTATATATGGTCCCGCGCGTAATCATGCTGCTTCTTTACATACATTATCATCTGTTATATCTGAAAATAAAGATAAAATCATGATTGATCCTCGATTAAATATTGTTCGAGTTAATGATAAATCTTTTGATATTTCTGATAAGGATATTCCTTCTGCATTCGAAATGGATTTTAATCTTAATGATACTTAATGATGAAGGGACATCAAATTGATTTTAGTCTAGGTTCACTGGCAAGAAAATATATTCAAAATGAATTTGCAAGTGATAAATGGAGCCAGTTTAAAACTTGGTTTTATGACACATATAGTACGGAGGATTTGTATAATATTTCTCAAGAATTTTACGAGACTTGTGCGTTGCATAATTGTAACACCCCGTATCCTAAACGGACCAAAAATATAGATTTTGAGTAGTTGCAGGAGCAACCCACGGTTGCCATCCACGGACCGTAGGTCAGACCACGGTTCGTGCTGGTGGTCCGTGGTTTACCACTGCAGCCCCTCCCAAAACCCATCTTGGAAAATCGGCTAAGTCTCGACCCACGGACAGACCACGGTCCGTGGATCAAGAATCCTTTACCCAGCCTCTGACATGAACTACGGTCGACCAGCACAGACCATCATTCGATGCACGGTCCGTAGGTTTGACCGTAGATGAGGGTCAGCAGCCAGTTAGCTAAAAATTGTTGATGGGTCAACTTCAGATGGTCATACCTTTTAGCACAAAAGGAATTTTGTGTCCCATGACCTATGATATTATAGATAATTGAATCCTCTTTCCAACGCCACCGAGTTTGCTAAAATCCGACCTCTGAGTAAAAAGTTATGCTCGTTTTAGTGAAGCCCTGTTGGGCAGACTTGACTAACGGACCCAATCGACGG